AAATATTTAAATGTTAATTATAGTAATATTTTAATATTTAATAGGAATTTTATTGTGATTAGACTGACAAGTTTTAAACAAATATTATTTATAATGTTACGATGCAGTTTTCTAATTCGTCGACCACTTACCAGATAAGCTTTCGTGACGAGAAAGTATTTCTTGTAAATGTTACAAATTCATAGCGTACTAGATAAGACTGATAAAACGCTGAATTACGTATCACGCATGAATCAACTCCTGAAACTACGTCCTTACGATTTTTACTTGATTCTTGCCCAACGAATTACTCACGATGACCCCAAACACCAGACTTCCTAACAGGTAGTAGTCATGGTTTTACTCCGTTTCTCCAAACAAATTATAAGGGTATTACTTTGAAAGAAATAAATACCCGTTTCCGTCTATATATTTAATTAATCGTCATGTAATTTGTGCAGCTGAAGAAACATAGACACAAACTATTTTCCACACTGCAATTTTATTAATGGAGACAATTTGCAGAAGACCGTTTTATATAAAGTGATTCGCATTCAATTTTGTTTCCTTCAGATGCTTGTTAGGCAAACAAACAATGTTTTCAGTGTAGACGTCCTCTGAAGCTAACTATGTGGAGCATAATCTTTCTAGAACTGACAATGAAACAGAAGGAGTTCTGGAAATCATACACACGTCACATCTTTCAGAAAACCATCGTAAAATATTCCGCCACTCCTTTAACCGTTATATGGAATGTTCTGAGGATAAAAGCCAGGTATTGACATAAAATTCTCTACGCCAGTGAGAAAATTGTTTACATAAGATGATTAGATTGTGTTATCTCTCGTTAGATAACTAATTTTCGTACAGTCTACTCCAGAAACGGAAAGTTGTATGAATGTAATAGCTATAATTTTACAAGCTGCTTCATAATGGCTGTGAAAATTGGTCTCCAATCTTTGTACAAAAATACAGATGAACGGTGTCTGAGCACGTAGCAGCTTCAGACCTTGTACTCTTTACCGACTATAAACCATCGAATACGGGCAAAAAGAGTATAGATGTGATTTCTCCGATCAGTGGCGGGATACAAAGCATGCAAACACATTTCATAAATCTGGTTTAGGCAGATTACAGACTAACAGAAATATATATAGATGGACGGTATAGTTTTTCGCCAAAGGAAATCAAATTTAAAAATACGTACACGAGTAAGATTTGAGGTTTTCACAGCGGTGAGTATGAAGATTTCTGTCTTCCGGGTTGCTGCGCTGTGTAGTCTGGTCGATGTTTACCAACGTTTCGGAGGTCATACTGCCTCCATCATCAGGGCGGTGAGTCTGAAGATTTCTGTCTTCTGGGTTGTTGCGCTGTGTAGTCTGGTCGATGTTAACCAAC